GAAGATTCTCTAGGTGACACGGATTAGTTTTCTGTTTCAAAAACTGAATTGATATTTCTGTTCAAAATTTTAACTAAATAGATTTATAACTGTGTTAGAAAGCAATAAGATATTGTAGAAATTGTGTCCAAGTTTCAAAGTATATTTTTAATAATAGTAAAGGTGAATGACAATACTATGCATTTCTGTCTGCAGCAATTTGACATAATTCTTTGCACTCCTTTCCTGAAAACTTTTTTATTGCTGTTATAAGCAGTGTCTTTTGATGTTTGCTTTCTCGTCTGTTTTCTTTGGATGGAAAGAACCAGATGGACAAGTTAAGTCTTTGGGGATTGAATCCAGTGCCATTCTGTCAAAATGAATTTGTATGGCAAATGACCATCCTGTCTCCCTGGGGTTAAGTATGTCACCTACATATAATGTTTCATCTTTGAGATCAAGCCAAGAAACTGAAGGGCAAAAATTCTTGCTTTTGCAAAGTGATGAAGTTCCATCAAATACTGACCAAAGGAGTGCCATGCTAATGAATTTTGATGAGAGTGATATATTGTAATAGAAAGCTAACAAAGCAACATAGAGATTTATGATTTTAATACTATTGCTAAACAAATAAAACAAACTTATTAAAGCTTCATGTTCTAAATATGCTTGCTTGGTTTTAGTCACATTAGAGTGTTAGAGCACGGCTTCTTAAACTCTGGGTCATGATCCCAAGGGTCCCAAGTGGAAAGGTTTAATCCTGGACATTGCAGAACGTCCTGCATTTTGAGGATAAGCAATCTTGGACAATACGTGTATTTTGGAGGCTAACAATATGGAAAATTCTATGGCTATAGGGGAATTTCCCATAAGTAGTTGCCTTGTATCTGTGGAATCCACAAGAGGCTTGGAATACAAAGAAGCCTTCAAATTAATCTCAATCGTTATATATGCTGGAATAGGGCTTTTTTCTCTATCATTGAAGCAATGGGGTGTGTATTATTATTATTATTATTATTATTATTATTATTATTATTATATATAATTAAAATATTTTTGACTAGAAAAAGTGACTTAAAACATTTAACTACTTATGTTTTTTATTTATGAATACACATGTGCACACATATACACAAATAGCCAGTCTCTGAAACAGAGTTATAGACACAATGACATCTCAGAGTTCTTGTGGGGAGACAGACCCACTACCTGCTGATCAGAGAAAATGTGCTGAAGGAGACTAGAGTGGCATTGGGTCTGACTCAGAGAAAGTCTAGTAGAGTCTCTCAGGACTCTGTTCTGTTTCTCATACACTTACAAAATCTATATGAAACCATTGGGAGCTGTTAGGTTTACCAGCATGCTGATGATACTCATTTTCTCCTTTGTAAAGAACTCTAAAGTATCTGTTTTTGTTCTAAACTAGTGTTTGGCATCAGTAACAGATAAAATGAGGATAAACACATCAGTGTCACTCCAGACAAAACGAATGTTCCAATTCAGAAAATAAGGATTCAATCTGTGCTGGGTAGGGTCATACTTTCCTGAAGATGCAGGTTCCTGTTTTGGACATGCTCTTGGACTGATTGTTGAACACAGCCAATTTTTTATTTATTTTATTTATATACCACTTTTCTCAGCCCTCGGCCCTTTTATGGAATATGTTCCTCCCTGAGTTATAGTTCCAAACCTCTTCTTCAGTTCTTCTTTGTGTTTCCCCTTTTCCTTCATTGTGTGTTTTCTCATTTTTACTTTCTGCCCTTTCTCACTAATCTATTGAACCCATCCATTCCCCACAGATGTTTTTCAATGGTTTTCGAAGACATATGGCCTCAAGACTGTTTTTCATGAAATTAACAGTATACAGGCAATTAGTGCTGGACAGTCACATTACCTCTTGTTTTTTAAGTGACATGCACATTGTGAAAATATTGCTAAATTTTTGCTAAATATTATGCAAATACTGCTAAAACTTCCAAAAATGAAAAGCACGTCTCAGAGCCTTCTCATTATAAGATATTGCTAAGGTATCGTGTTCTCTTATTAAAGGCTGGCCTTTCTGTTTGTTTTTATTCACTTTAATCAGGACATGTCACATATCACTGACTCTGAGTTCCAATCCCATTGTGAGGATTTTAGAGGGAAAGGCCATCCCTGGCAAAATACGTAAATGAATCTGGAATTTTTACCCATTGAAATGACTAGGATTCGGAAACTTCATAGCTTGACAATGTGAAATAGCTGTATTGCAGAAAAACAACAGTTTAAACTTTTTTCTGTGTTGCAAAGCAAAAAGATTTATTAATATGTAATGTCATTTGATATATAAAGACCATGATAAAGAGAACTTGAAAAATCTCAAGCTGTTTTGATTCAAAAGACTTATGCTTCAAAAAGATCATTGAAGTTTATAAGCTATGGGACTAACAAACCACATGTTAAATGCAAATTCATGCAAGAAAGTCTCAATACTGTTTATTTTTAAAAAGATAAACAACATGGTAGGAAGGAGATTTGGAGTGGAAAATCAGCAGGAGGCCGGGTGGCATGAAAAATACTTAACTCTTCATCTGTTTCTTTGAATTACCCTTTTCCAAATGAAAGTAGAGTAGAGACTGCTTTGGAGGGGAAATCCCCTCCTCTCCTCTCCAACTTCTTTAGTTTCGTTTTCCAGCCCCAAGAAGGTAAGGTAAGCCTCCTGACTCCTATGGAGGCTTTTCTTTTGTCTTTAAGGGTCAGGGAGGGGAGGGGAGGGGGGACAATCCCCATGACCACCTCTGCTGATTATAGATCACAAATCTGCAGGGTTGGTTAAGGCAAAAGGCAGGATTTTGGGTCACAGTGTAGCTAAGAAACATGATAAAACAGCATGTTAAACATCGGGGGTTTTGCATTTGGGCCTGTGTAGAAGGGCCCTATGATTCATATGGTCCCCAAACTATCAGTTGACTTACAAATGTACCCCAGTTATACTACAGGTAACAATTTTACTGCTTCCCCCCACAATTTTAATATTGATTTTCTTCCACAATTGCATTACAGGCATTACATGTTTTGGTCACTGAAAAATGTAATAAATTTTCCCCCTCCTCCCTCTATCTTCTCTGCAAAGAAGACATTACTACTTTAAACATTTATAAAAGCTATCTTCCAAGATGACAATTCTAAGTTGGTCCTTTGATCTAAATGTTATTTATAGATATTTCCAATATAGAATTGTTCCTGCCTCAAACTTATTTGAAGCACACAGTCCAAAGTTGTGTATCTTTCTCTTTTTGAATCAATTTCAGAAATGGTTCCCAGTCCTTTTCATCATCACTTTCACTTTCCCCCATAACATCATTGCCATTTTGTCCATTTCTGCCATTTAAAAAGTTTTTATAATCCACTCTTCACTTGATTTTTCAGCCTTTTTCCAATATCGTGCCTATAACATTCTTGTTCTACTAAACATGTATTGTTATGTTTTGGAAGTAATTAATTCAACTCATTCATTTTAAATTCCTAAAAAGAATAGCTCAGGGTCTAATTGGATCATATTTTTGAATTTTATTTTTGCAGTTGCTTTTGTATTAAATTACAAAAATGGCTTACTTTTGAGCAGGTTCACCACATGTGAAAGAAGGTTCCAGGTTCCTTGCCACACTTCCAGCATGTAATGCTCATGTTTTTTGTTCATTTTAGCCAGTGTCACTGGGGTACTGTTTTTCTTCTTTTATAAATTTATATTGAACTGCTTCAGCATTTTGAAAATGAAGATGGTTCCAAAATAAAGAAATAAATAGTTCTAATTGAGCCACTTTAAGGCAGAATTGTTAGGTAGTTTATTCATTGACTTGAATGGTATTGTATGCAAACCCAACTAAACACAGAATTGTGTTCTTCAGGAAGCTTTGTACCCATTAACAAAAATGACTGTCCAGTAAATTAATGTTAAATACTTATAAACAAGTGTTCTATTGACTAATGTGACTAAGCTTGCAAGAACAGGGGAATATGTGCTTGATTTTGGAGTGGAGATGCAGTTTCAGATCTCTGCCATATAAGAAGTTTGCTTAACATCTCAGAACAATTTTCACCAAATTTAATCTAATTTTTGTGAAGAGAAAGTACGACATGCCCCGCGGATGCCAAATCTGTGAGTGCTCAGGAAGTATTATATACAAAATCTTATAAAATATTTTCCCTTATATAAAATGAAAAATAATGATTTGCTTTTTGGGTTTCTTTTTTTAAAAAAATCAAGCCATGGATGGTAGAATCTACAAATGCAGAATCCATGGAGATGGAAGGCTGGCTGTATGTTGTACACTTAATATAGCAGTCATGCACAATAATTCAGTTGATTTTGAAATTCAATATACAATTCATATCTAATGTTTTGGACTTTAAAAAAAATGTCAGGAATAGCTATATGTGCGCTCCCCCCTCCCCCCGGTGACTGCTAATCATTCACTCATGCTATGAAGATTTAGTCCAGTAATCATTTTTGAGAAAATGTGACATTGCAAGCACCAATCAATCATATAGCTAATACTGACCTTGGTCACAATCCAATATTTGAGATGGTTTAAAATTTCAGCATTAAACCAGCCCTTTTCAGATCATCAGCTTTTCATTGATGCAAAACAACAGTGGGGTGTTTGTGGGGTTTCCGGCTATATGGCCATGTTCTAGCAGCATTTTCTCCTGATTCTGGCCATGAAAGCCTTTGACAATACATAAAACAACAATAAACAAACATGAATAATGTGTATAGTATTAATATGTTTTTTTCAGAGCAGTATATATTGTCTTGAAAAAAATATGTGTATATATTAAAAGCCTTGGATGAGATTGTTTGCAGATTGTATAAGTAATGAAAATTTGTTCATGAAAAATTTGGAGTATGACAAATATATGTCATTACAGTTCCTTTATCCCACTACCAGGTACTTTTATATTCATTTGAAAGAATGTCTGTTTACTATTACAAGTGTGTTGCGGACTGTGAATTGTTTATTTGCTTCTTTTTAAACCAGAGATTGAGAAAGAAAGCTGTGGGGATCCTGGTACTCCATTGTATGGCATTAGAGAAGGGGATGGATTTTCCAACCGTGATGTGTTAAGGTTTGAGTGTCAGTTTGGGTTTGAACTCATTGGAGAAAAATCTATTGTTTGTCAAGAGAACAACCAGTGGTCAGCAAATATACCGATCTGCATTTGTGAGTACAAAGCTTTTATGGCAATTATTTTTAAAGGAAATGTGTTAGTAAAAATGGATACATGTTATAAGCTTTTAATGCTGTCACTAGATGAAATTCTGAGTTCAGTGAGACTTCTGTATTTACTGAGGTTTGGATTCAGGATCCACCATGGATATCAAAACTGTGGATGCTTAGGTCTTATTATATACAATAATTTAGTAAAATAGTGTCCTTTATATAAAATGACAAAATCATGGTTTGCCTTTGGGTTTTTTATTTATTTATTTATTTATTTATTTATTTATTTATTATTTAAACTTATATGCCGCCACTCCCCTGGGGCTCGGAGCGGCTTACAAGAATAGCTAAAATCTAACAAAATTTAAAAGCAATTTAAAACAATTTAAAAACAACACTATCAAACATTAAAAGCCTGTCGAAACAGGTATGTCTTACATGCCCTGCGGAAAGCTGGTAAGTCCCGCAGGGCACGAACCTCAGGTGGCAGAGCATTCCAGACTGATGGTGCCACTGCTGTGAAGGCTCTGCGTCTGGTTGCCGCTAGACGCAAGGTCTTGACACTGGGGACCTCCAATAGATCTTGGTCCTCAGAACGGAGGGATCTCTGGGGTTGGTAGGGGGTGAGGCGGTCCCTCAGGTACATCGGCCCCAGACCATGCAAGGCCTTAAAGGTGAGTACCATCACTTTGAAAGTGATCCGGTGCTCAATTGGTAACCAATGCAGCTGTAGTAAGATTGGTGTTATGTGGCATCTCATCGGAATTCCCGCAAGAAGCCGAGCAGCTGCATTTTGTACCAACTTGAGCTTCCGGATCACCGACAGAGGAAGGCCAATGTAGAGGGCGTTACAGTAGTCCAGTCTTGAGATGACTGTGGCCTGGATCACCGTAGCTAGGTCGTCCCTGGACAGGTAGGGGGCCAGCCGTCTAGCCTGCCGCAGGTGAAAGAAGGCGGTTCTGCTCATGGCGGAGACCTGGGCCTCCAATGTCAGCAGAGGGTCCAAAAGGACTCCCAGACTCTTGACCAATGATGACGGGCGTAACGCCTCGCCATCCAGGGTGGGCAGATGGATGTCCCCACTGCCCGGTCGACCCAGCCATAGGATCTCCGTCTTTGCTGGATTCACCCTCAACCTGCTGGCACGCAGCCATCCAGTCACGGCCTCAAGGCACTGATGGAAACATTCGGGTACAGAGTCCGGTTGGCCTTCCATCTTCAGCAAAAGCTGAGTGTCATCGGCGTACTGATAACACTCAAGCCCAAAACCTCGAACCAGCTGAGCAAGTGGTCGCATATAGATGTTAAACAACAGAGGGGAGAGAATGGCCCCCTGAGGAACCCCACAAGATAGAGGGGACCTCTCAGAGACCAGGCCTCCCCTCTCCACTCGCTGTCCACGGTTGTGAAGGAAGGAGGACAGCCAGTTTAAAGCTGTCCCCCTGATTCCAGCAACAGCAAGGCGGTGGGTCAAGAGATTGTGGTCGACTGTGTCAAATGCTGCTGTGAGATCCAATAGCACAAGCAGCGCTGACCCGCCCTGGTCAAGCTGGCATCGAAGGTGATCCGTGATGGAGACCAGCACAGTCTCTGTCCCGTGCCCCGCACGGAAGCCGGACTGGAAGGGATCTAGTCCGGCTGTGTCGTCTAGGAATTGCTGCAACTGCTCCGCTGCTGCCCTCTCAATCACCTTGCCCAGGAACGAGAGATTTGAAACTGGGCGGTAACTGGAGGGAACCGAGGGATCTAAATCTGGTTTCTTCAGCAAAGGAGAGACCACCGCCTCTTTTAAACCCTCTGGAAAGACTCCTTGCTCAACGGAGCTGTTTATGATCTTCAACAGAGGGTCACGTAATCCCTCCAAGCAGGATTTCACCAACCAAGAGGGACACGGATCGAGGGAGCAAAAATAATTAATTATTTTATTTTATAATATCAAATAATTAATTATATATTTTATTTTATATATAATTATTTTAAAAAATAATATTTTAAAGCAGCAAATCTATCCATCCGGAATCTATGTATATGGAGACCTGACAGATAAAATTTCAGTTTCTGTAATATTTAATATTACTTGTAAAAGGGATAAATGGGTCTCTCCATACAATCCTGCTATGGTTTAATTTCATTTAAAAGCAGTGTATCTTATATTTTATCTTTGTGATGTACTGTTTTATAGATGAAATGAAATAAGATAGAAACCTATTATATTTCATAAAGTTGCAAATGGCTGAATTACAGTCATGAGGATTTCAATTATTTACATGTCCCATAATGCATTATACATGAATATCTTTTAATATGTACATAATCTAAGAGATAGAAATTTTGACTGTCTAGTATTGATACAATACAGAGTAAAATTGTCTAACTCTGGAATGAATTATAATTTATAGAATACATGAAAAAGTAGAACAAGATCCTTCAATGTGCACAGAATCTTTAAGAAGTATACATACAAACATTATAATCACTCAGTGAAAATTATATAAATTGCATTATAGTTACTGAAGTAGCAGCTTTAACTATAAAATATTGTCTAGTTAACAAGGAAAATCGATGAGTCCTTTTGTTTCTAATGCAATTCCTATATTTAATCATAGAATCATAGAATCAAAGAGTTGGAAGAGACCTCATGGGCCATCCAGTCCAACCCCCTGCCAAGAAGCAGGAATATTGCATTCAAATCACCCCTGACAGATGGCCATCCAGCCTCTGTTTAAAAGCTTCCAAAGAAGGAGCCTCCACCACACTCCGGGGCAGAGAGTTCCACTGCTGAACGGCTCTCACAGTCAGGAAGTTCTTCCTAATGTTCAGATGGAATCTCCTCTCTTGTAGTTTGAAGCCATTGTTCCGTGTCCTAGTCTCCAAGGAAGCAGAAAACAAGCTTGCTCCCTCCTCCCTGTGGCTTCCTCTCACATATTTATACATGGCTCTCATATCTCCTCTCAGCCTTCTCTTCTTCAGGCTAAACATGCCCAGCTCCTTAAGCCGCTCCTCATAGGGCTTGTTCTCCAGACCCTTGATCATTTTAGTCGCCCTCCTCTGGACACATTCCAGCTTGTCAATATCTCTCTTGAATTGTGGTGCCCAGAATTGGACACAATATTCCAGATGTCATCTAACCAAAGCAGAATAGAGGGGTAGCATTACTTCCTTAGATCTAGACACTATGCTCCTATTGATGCAGGCCAAAATCCCATTGGCTTTTTTTGCCGCCACATCACATTGTTGGCTCATGTTTAACTTGTTGTCCACGAGGACTCCAAGATCTTTTTCACACGTACTGCTCTCGAGCCAGGCATCGTCACCCATTCTGTATCTTTGCATTTCTTTTTTCCTGCCAAAGTGGAGTATCTTGCATTTGTCACTGTTGAACTTCATTTTGTTAGTTTTGGCCCATCTCTCTAATCTGTCAAGATCGTTTTGAATTCTGCTCCTGTCCTCTGGACTATTGACTATCCCTCCCAATTTGGTGTCGTCTGCAAACTTGATGATCATGCCTTCTAGCCCTTCATCTAAGTCATTAATAAAGATGTTGAACAGGACCGGGCCCAGGACGGAACCCTGCGGCACTCCACTTGTCACTTCTTTCAAGATGAAGAGGAAGCATTAGTGAGCACTCTCTGTGTTCGTCCACTTAACCAATTACAGATCCACCTCACCGTAGTTTTGCCTAGCCCACATTGGACTAGTTTCCTTGCCAGAAGGTCATGGGGGACCTTGTCGAAGGCCTTACTGAAATCCAGGTACGCTACATCCACGGCATTCCCCGCATCTACCCAGCTTGTAGCTCTATCGAAGAAAGAGATCAGATTAGTCTGGCATGACTTGTTTTTGATAAATCCATGTTGACTATTAGCGATGACTGCATTTGTTTCTAAGTGTTTGCAGACCGCTTCCTTAACAATCTTTTCCAATCTTGCCCGGTATCGACGTGAGGCTGACCGGACGGTAGTTGTTTGGGTCATCCTTTTTTCCCTTCTTGAAGATTGGGACCACATTGGCCCTCCTCCAATCTGCTGGAACTTCTCCCGTTCTCCAAGAACTCTCAAAGATGGTTGCCAATGGTTCCGAAATGACTTCCGCTAGTTTCTTCAATACTCTGGGGTGTAGTTGATCTGGCCCTGGGGACTTGAACTCATTAAGAGCGGCCAGGTATTCCTGGACGACTTCTTTCCCAATTTGGGGTTGGATGTCCTCCAATCCCTCATCCACTCCATCTTGCTGAGGTTGAAGACTCTCATTTTGTGAGAAGACCGAGTCAAAGAAGGCATTTAGTAGTTCTGCCTTTTCCCTATCCCTTATCAGCATTGCCCCATCTTCTCCTCCAAGAGGTCCTATCGCCTCCTTGTTTTTCCTTTTTCTACTGACATAAGAATAGAAGCCCTTTTTATTGTTTTTAATGTCCCTGGCAAGTCTGAGCTCGTTTTTTGCTTTAGCCTTGCGGACCTTTTCCCTACAGGTGTTGGCTATTTGTTTGAATTCTTCTTTGGTGATTTCTCCCTTTTTCCACTTCTTGTGCATGTCTCTTTTGTGTCTTAGCACAGTTAGAAGTTCTTTGGACATCCATTCTGGCTTCTTTGCACTTGTCCTATTTTTTCTCTTTGTTGGCACGGTTTGCAATTTATTTGTAAAATGCAAATTTTCATTGCAATATTTGCCTTCTGACTCTAATTGTCCTCAGTCTATAATTGTTCATTTATAGATTTCCCAAAAGGGAGAAAATGATTAGTGCCATGTGATTTGTTAGATATAGATAAATTGTGAGGTATACTGTGATTTCAGTATACTATAAGTGCTGTATTTTACTCTTTAATTTGCTGTTAGTTTAGAAAGGAAACAATAGTAGATAATTGGGGAAATGCATTTGTGAGATACTTGTCTCTGTTTCGCTATAGTTTATCATCTCTCAAAAGAGGCTTTAGCCTGCAGATATGCTCCTTTGAAATTACAAAGAGCAAAATCAGGGATAACCTACCCATCTTCACTGGTCAGAAAAGACAATGATGATCCAGAGTAACTTACTCTGCATTGGTGTCACCAAAGGCCACCCACATTGCACAGTGACTGGCTGATGGTCATATGGCCAAGCAGTGATGGAACCGGTTCAGTGCCATTCAGTCATAATCCTTACATTGCCCCAATTGTTTTGGCTTTTTCAGTGATAATCTGGCATGACAATAGTACCTGTGGTGATGATAACCAAAGAGAAGTTATGCAAGACAAGAGTGAGAAGAGGAACAATCACTTCTTCCTCTCCTTCTCATGCTATGGAATTGTGAAGTTTGTAGCACTGTTTAGATTAAGACCTTGTGAAACCAGAGCTTCCATGATTCTATAGCACTGAGTCATGGAAGTTAAAGTACTGTCACACTGTGTTAATTATACAGTGTAGATGCATCCATAGGTTCAATCAGCATGTATCAGCTACATGGTTCTCTGAGTCCATGACTTTCTTAGGTTCTCAAATTTTATTATATTTTTCTTATTTTTAAAAAAAGATGCATCTATACATTGAAAAAATAAGTTTTTACTTGAACATGTGATTTGAAAGGCCCCTTTCATCTAGTTAATCACTTTTCCTTTCTTTCCTGACTTTTGATAGTTCCTTGCCTTTCTAATTTCACGGCACCGATGGGAACTGTTCTTTCTCCTGACTACCCAGAAGGTTATGGAAATAATTTGAACTGCATCTGGACAATCATCTCAGATCCTGGGAGCCGAATTCATCTCTCTTTTAATGATTTTGACTTGGAATCTCAGTTTGACTTTCTTGCCATTAAAGATGGTGACTTTTCAGATTCTCCAGTACTTGGCACATTCACTGGAGCTGAAGTGCCATCCCATCTGACTAGTAATAGTCATATTTTGCGTCTGGAATTTCAAGCTGACCACTCAATGTCAGGTCGGGGATTTAACATCACATATAACAGTGAGTAGCTTTCTAATTCAATTTAGCTTTTTGAACTTAACAGTTGTCAAATAATTCCATTGTACAGAGTTCATGAAAAGAGTGCCCCCGCCCCCCATTCCAATATAATTTTCCCTTCTTTTTTCTCTATTTCCTTCCTGGCTTTTTACAACTCTGTATTTTTTTCTCCTTTTTTTACATTTTCATTAAAAGCATTTGGGCAAAAATCATTTCCATCTATGATGAATTTAAATGGGCCATGTTGTGTGTATTGATTGCTACAACCAACTTCTATTTCCATTGTTACTGGATGTTACATGATTTGTTTAAGTAGCTTGTCAATTTGAAATGACCTTACGTGCAGTCTGATTTCAGTCAAAATAATAAATAATCACTTACTCCATCAGATAGGCGCAAAGATTACTGCAGATGCAGACTGTGGCCAGGAAATCAGAAGACGCTTACTTCTTGGGAGGAGAGCAATGTCCAGTCTCGATAAAATAGTAAAGAGTAGAGACATCAGACTGGCAACAAAGATCCGCCTAGTCAAAGCCATGGTATTCCCTGTAGTCACCTACGGATGTGAGAGCTGGACCTTAAGGAAGATCGATGCTTTTGAACTGTGGTGTTGGAGGAAAGTTCTGAGAGTGCCTTGGACTGCGAAAAGATCCAACCAGTCCATCCTCCAGGAAATAAAGCCCGACTGCTCACTGGAGGGAAGGATACTAGAGACAAAGTTGAAGTACTTTGGCCACATCATGAGGAGACAGGAAAGCCTAGAGAAGACAATTATGCTGGGGAAATGGAAGGAAAAAGGAAGAGGGGCCGACCAAGGGCAAGATGGATGGATGGCATCCTTGAAGTGACTGACTGACCTTGAAGGAGCTGGGGGTGGTGAGCCGACAGGGAGCTCTGGCGTGGGCTGGTCCATGAGGTCACGAAGAATCGGAGACGACTGAACGAATGAACAACAACAACAAACCATCAGATTTCCTTGTCAAGAACACCAGAAAAATCTTATTCCTGCATTGTTACCACATATTGTCTCCCATATAATTTCAATCAAGTCCCACACTCACAAATGTTGAGATGATATTAATGATTGCTTTATTGTATGTGTGTGTGTGTGTGTGTATTCATGTTAGTGCTATCTCCCTAGATTCCTGTTTTGAAAGGAAAGCTAGTGTAAAACTAGAACAAATCAATAAAATACCATCTCAATTTCATTTTTATCATTACCAAAGGGTAGCCTGTGGTGCCTTTATTAATCTAAAAATTACTGGGTTAATTTCTAGATAGCAAAATTACAAATCATGATTGCTCTCTTTAATGACAAATTCTACACAGCTCAGGGCATATTGTTTTTTAATGGAATAACTTAAAATCATCCAATCTTGACTGATCTTGAAAGCTTAGCAGGGTAAGCCCTGTTTTGTACTTGGATGGGAAACAGGTGCTATATTTCAGAAGAAGGAACTGGTCAAAATAGTGTTGAGTATTTATTGCCTACGAAATCTGTATGATATTTATATTATCACCATAAGTTGGCCGACAACTCAAACACACATATACAAGCATACATACAACTGGAAAAAGCACATCAAGCACATTCCACCTGGGGAACAACTAAAATAAATGTTGTTCCTGTTGCTGAATGCACTCTCTATATACAAAAATAAATTGGACAACAAATGGTGTCTCATAGAATTTCTGCATTACTGTAGACAATATCTTGTAAACAATGGGAAATATGCTAGGTACTCTAGGTAGATTTTCCATGATTTCTGATACCTAGAACATGGTCTAACAATCCTTCATGAGAACCAGTCTTTCCAGTCATCCATAATAATCTGATACTATTCTTCATAATTGTTTCTTCGACCCAATGTTATTCCCTAGAGGAATTAGCACTCTCAAAAGGAAACATATGTAACAAAGAATGCATATTATAAGCATTTCTCAATTATATGCTTTCATGTAGTATTTATTACAAGGCAAAATAGACTTGAGTGATGTTTCATGTTTTGAGAATTCCCCTTCAGGGTTATCTGTCACTGTTGAGACAAGAATGTTAACATTTCATGGCAAAAATAGTAGATAACTCTTTTTTGTGACCTTTCTGAAAACTATCAGGCTTATCTGAAATAATCCAATGAGTTTATGCAATTGGTAATAATATAAGTTTACTATTTTCTGATGTGACACTTGTGGCAAGTGCTGTCACCAATAAGTTGTCAAAATATAATCACAGAACATTATAATTTAAATTAGCTTTGACGTATGTCATACCAGTTTGTTATATAAAGCTGTTTGTTTGCCACTAGGGATTCTCTTTCTTTTTTACTTTTCACATTTTGTCAAGTTTTCTGATGCTAGATGTTAACCTAAATTAAGACATGGCGCTTTTCATCCAAATATAGTCTAATATTAATTTTCAGAGCCAGACTTAGTCTTGATATTTCAAACCCTGTGGACTGTGCAGTGTTTTTATTCTGGAAAATGAAACCGAGTTTCCTAAAATGTGAATTGTCTTCAGACGTTGATAACCCTGGGATACTTGCCTAGTAGAAAGTTCCAGTTTTGCAGTGGATCATAACTAAGCACTCAAAAGAGTTCAGACTTATTTATATTTATATTCACCTTTTTTGTATGACAACTATGTGTAATTCAGTGTTAAGGAATGCCTGCCAAATTTTAAATTTGTTAATAGACTGATAATCTCTTTGTTACCATTTGTTTTTAATCACTTAATAAAAATGGAAATATATGACGTAGTTACACCAAAGAGATATCAGCTGATAGGAACATGAAAGGGTGTCTTGTTGTGGTGGTAGGCAGCTTGCTTGATGAATATGACAAATCAACAAGAGATACTACACTTGATCTTAGCCAAAAGACCGAGAAGCGATGACTGTTTTCTAATCTGTTTTTTTTAATAATTACTTCATTGGGAGTTGAGTTTCCCCTTCCCAGGGTGCTTTTGCTCTGCTTTGTGCTGGACAGTGACCATAATAAAGTTTTGTATTGTATTGTAAATCAACAACAGATTTTAAAAAGACACATTGCATATTGGGTATAATTAGAAAACTCACTGGAGATGCATTTGTTCATATTGTAGTGACTTAATACAAATCCATGACAGGCTCCCAAGTGGAATCTATATGCAGTCTGAATCATCATACTTTTAAAAAGATATTGTACTTTTGGAAAACTTTAGAAAAAAAGACAACATAATGAATCAACTCCTCTGTGAGATAAGGTTTGGCACCTTAGCTTAGCTTTAGCTCAGAAGTAAAGCATTTGAAGCTATTTAGATTTGAAAGAAGCTCCATATGACAAGCATAATAGGGTTGTTCAAACTGTGCATTTTGTGGAGAACATGCCCTATAAAGAGCAGCTTCAAGAGCTGGGTATATTTTTTACTTGCAGAATAGAAGGATGATCACCATATTTAGATATTTGAAAAGAATACCTTAAGGAAGAGGAAGCAGGCTGGTTTCCTTCTGTGCTGGAGACTAGGACTCGGAGCAATGGGCTCCAAATGACAGGAAATGAGATTCCACCTGAACATTAGGAAGAATGTTTGTGAGAGCTGTTCAACAGTGGAACTCTCTTTGATTGTGCTTTTCCTGCATGCCAGTAGGTTGGACTTGATGACCCATGTGGTTTCTTCCAACTCTATTATTTTATGATTCTAGAGAGATAAGAACCCCCCCCTTTTTTTTTTCTCATAATGGTAGATTTTGTGGGCTATTCTGAAGCTACATAGCAGAAAAAACCTGATCCTTCATACAACATAGATTTGATTCTGGAATATACTGCCAGAGAGTTTAGTTTTGGCTGCCAACTTGGATAGCTTTAAAATGATAAATTCATGGAGAATGGGCTTTTGGTTGCTCATCAAGATTATTTTCTGTCACCTCAGATATCGAAGGCAAGCTGATGCTGTATATCCGTTGGTGGCAATCGTGATAGGAGACAAAATTATATTTGTATTCTGCTAAAATCTTCTTATTGATAATTGTGTGAACATTATGCTGTATTAAATTTTACAGCATAAATACATTATGCTGTATTAAATGTTGGCTTTTCTTATGTTCCTATATATTTTGATTTAGTGATATGGGAAAACAAAATTGATCTTTTATAAATTTGCATTTTCTGGATCAGTGTTTCTCAAACTGGATTGGAAATGCTAGAAAATATTTTTAAATCAGCAAAAATGTGTTTCTCAAGATCCAGACACAGATACCATCCAGAATTTATTCTGTGAAGGTATTCTGTGCAAATTTCAAATATGATTTTTTGTGTGTGTGCAGGAAACTGCAAAGCATTCTTTCCTGAGTAGAAATTCAGGATTTATGTTGAAAATATAAGGATTTTGTTGCTGTTGCAGAAACAGCATTTTATGCACAGGAAACAGCAAAGTGCTGCTTTATTCACACATACACACAAGTTTGTGAATTTTGCACATAATAATTTATCAACTTCGTGTATCAAAAATGTTATTTTCTGTCAAAAAACAAAACAAATTTGTGAATTATACATACAAAATTGTGCCAATTCTTTTGCAGTGAGAATAATATTGCTAACATTGGGGGTCTAGAATAGTTATATTCAATTCTTCCTGATTTTGTTTTAAAGCTTTTGGGCACAATGAGTGTCCTGATCCTGGAATACCAATCAATGCACGCCGGTTTGGTGACAACTTTCAGTTGGGAAGTTCAATCTCTGTCATTTGTGAAGAAGGTTTTATTAAGACTCAAGGAACTGAAACAATTACTTGTGTACTGGTGGATGGAAAAGTTATGTGGAGTGGGCCTATTCCTAAGTGTGGAGGTAAGTTTGGTATCTTTGTTTAATTCAAGATAATAATGCTATAAGTATGTGCACTGCATGATTGTAGTTTTGGAGTTTATGGCTTGTACGTTAAGTGCGTCTGCATTTATCATGTCTATACAGAAGGGTGAATATTATTGCTTGTATTCCATTTGATTGATTTTTTGTTTTGCATTTCTTCCATTGCAGAATATTTGTGAGATTTCATATTTTTGATTGGTACACAAACCATTACTTTTATAGAATATATAAAAACATTGCCAGTGTAATTGATTTTGTGTCATTGATTAACCAAAATAACAAGACCAAACAACAGTTTTTGGATCAAAATATGGGCAACTTTTATTAACTGTTACTTATTAAACTTTAACTGAATCTAATTCAATGGGTCCTGAACTTGATGTGGCAAAGCCGAGGTAGCATCCCTGCCCTACCCTTCAGCTAGTTAAGGCGAAACACCTGTGTCCCCTGAATACCTATCTGGGCAACCTTTAAGGGAAGTCTCAGTCAAGGTTATTGAGGCCAGACTCTCCCCCTTTCTAGACCATTTGATTTCACCTCACCTCGTTAAGTGAACCCCAGGCAAGTGTTTTGGTTAATGGGCTTCACCCTTGAGGGGGGTGCCTTGGGTGTACACCAGATTTTAGATTTCCCTACCTAGTTTTCATTGCAGCCTATTTAACATCTGAAGTTCCTTTTTTGCCAGATGACTGGAGACTGTCCAATTAAACATCAGTTTTGTATAAAGCAATCTAGGGGGAATCCAGGCAATTACTAGATGATTTGCTTAACATCTGTTCTGGGTAAATTGGTGGAAAGAATAATTAAAGCTAATGTTATCAAGTATATAAAAGAAGTTTTGCTGAAGAACAATCAACATGACTTCTAAAGCTAAGTACTTTCATACTAACCTTTTTGAGGTCTTTGAGAACATAAACAAGCACATGGATGCAGTATACAGCCTGTGTGGAAAAATGAATTTCAGTAAAATGAATTGTAAATAAAACTCCCAGAGTCATCCTGCCTTTATAGAAAATTATGATGCAACTACATTTGCTGCTACAATTGAAATCTGTGTATACAGTACTTGTACAAATCACATGTCTAAGACCATACTGTAAAGCAGAAGAAGATGCAAACAAAGACAACTTAAATGATCCAGGGAAATTCTCCCATATGGGAAGATTATATGCTTTTTTGTTTTTTGGTTGAATGGTTTGCTTTTTGGTGTTTTGCTTTCTCAAGCTTAATTTAGAAAAAAATGTGAACATGATGGGAAATAGTAGAGGACTAGAGAACTAAGCATCTAATGGAAAAGGGAGATATTTTTCTCACTTTGCAATAATACCAGAACATGGAAATTCCCAGTGAAGATGGATGAAGGGAGACCACAGGCAGAGAAAATGAAATATTTTTCAGTTCAAATAGCCACTGTCATTATCAACGGACTGCACTAACTTTAAGTATCTCATTACTTTGTTCTGTGCTATGGTTGAAGGACCAATATAGTAGATCCTGTGCTTTGCATTCTCATGTGGCTGTTCTGCAAAGATACTTTATCCTAGAACCAATTCATAGTGTTAAATTATAGGTCAATTAAAATTCCAGTGAGACCTTCATGCCCAACAACTCAGTCTTTGAGGTTTAAATGCATGACTAGGTTGCTGAATGTGAATCCCATTGTGAAATTATGTCATAGTGTACTAGCCAGAAAAAGAAAAGGAACTTGCAATCCACATACTGCATTCAATATCTCAGAGGCCTGACTAAAGTCCAAGACTATAACTCCCACTCCCATATAATTTTCAATAAAAAGTACTGTTATTCCCACTTTTCTTTCCCCAGTTATGATTTAGGAACAGAAAAAAAGCCATATAATCCATGTCTAGCTGCAACATATAAAATGTAATAAACACATAAAACATACTTGTAATGCTACACTCTGTGCTACACTAGTGCATGTATCATTTTACTCTTTTTAGCTCTTGACTTGGTTTGTCTTCAGGCTTTTTAGAGTTGTTTTAAGAATGAAGAAACATCAGTTCTCCAGTTACAAGGTTTGCAATTCTGTATACATTTTTCCCAGCCACATTATGACTTCCTTTTCTTTCTTAGCAAGAAGACTGAAACGGATGTAGCTGACAGAAACAATTTGTTGTTTTCTTCTTTTCAGCTCCATGTGGTGGGCATTTTTCTTCTCCCAGTGGAGTTATCCTTTCTCCAGGCTGGCCTGGGTATTATAAAGACTCCTTGAATTGTGAGTGGGTGATTGAAGCTGAACCAGGACACTCTATCAAAATTACATTTGAAAGGTCTTGACAAAAGCTTTTTCTCCTTATATTTCCACTTCTTACTAATAACTTGGAAATTATTTACTTCCACTTTTATATAAAGGGAAAGATCATTTTCATTTAACAGACATTATCCTTTCTTTTTTATTTGTGCAAATATGTCAACATAATTGAAAACTATTGGAATGTAAGCTAATTTTAACCCTATTGATTCAATGATTGATAAATACTTTCAATTTACTACAAAAGTTTTGAACCTCAAATTTTGGTCCTATATTTCTTTGCTATTCTTTTACTCAAAGGGCCACATTTGTTGATTTAATCAGCACCATATCTCGTTAAAAACTTTTACTGAAATGAATAAAGTGTAACAGCAAGACACAGGCTTTTCTACTACTACTTCTACTACTACTGTATTACTATTATTATTACTCATGTACATGTACATGTCCATCCCTACTCTGAATAAATTCATCAAGAAACTGCTATGATACATCCACCTTACAGTTGCCATCCAGTGAAGCTGAATGGTGAAGAACTTGTGTCAGGCACAAATAAGTAGGGTTTTCTTTTTAAATACAGCAATAATTAAGCTATGGAAAGTGATACCATCAAATGTGGGCAATAAATGTCTTTAAAATGTTATTCATGTGCTTTCAAAATCTATTTTTCATGTCTATTTTTATCTCCAGTATCAAAGACGGTATATATTTTTATCACTAGTGCAGGAAAATATATCCCAGCATCACAAATACATTGCATTTGCATCTTGCTTTTCAGCTTATTATGAATTTCCACCTGGTCACTGTATGAACAGAATGATGAAAATATAAAAATATAGTTGAAGAAAATATCAGGCATCACCACTGAAAATTATCCCAAGTTGTAGATCTGGTAAAATTTGAGGTTCGGAACTGAACAGAATTTCACTGGAGCTGAGATTCCTGATGGAATAATCCAATTCAGCACTTGAGACTTACTATGGGTGGGTTGGATTGGGCACTACCTTGCCTTAGAAGTTTTCAGATTTTTGAGCCTAACAAGAAAACTTCAGAGAAATAGAATACAGATTAAACCATGTCAGCATTTAAAAAATATGAACAGCTAAGATTCAAATAACATGTAAGGGGAAATGTTAACAAAACAACAACAACAATGCAAAATATGTATTGCTTGTATGCAAAAACATTTTCATGGATGAAAAAGAAGTCTTGCAGCTCAATGCAAAGAATGGATTACTAATACAAATGGAATTCCAAAGAAAACAATGACATCAAGGTATCCTTGAATTAAATCACAAATGTATCATAGATTGACTGCACATCTGGAACTTTGCAACATTCCCTGATGTGTCTGGAGTTTTTCCTCCAATTATACCTGCTTTTTACATGGCATTTGTGTAAGTCTGACATCAGAAACCTGGATCCTCCTCTCTTCCATTTTCTCCAACACATTTCATCTGTTGTATGTGATCTGTCCTTAAGGAAAAAGTCAATGGGAATGGGACTAGCACCCCCCCCCCCATCCCTCATTGACTATGTTTATGCAGACAGGAATTCCAAAAAACAAGGTAAAATAATTATTTTAAAATTAAAAATATCTGAAATCCAAAAATACCTCTAGTCCCAAACATTTCAAATAAGGGGGGCTCAAACTATATTTGGTTTCTTGGTCTTACCATTTTCATGTCAGGTTTTGTGACAAAACCCCTTTGGTCAGTTACTATAGCTTTTGCTAACTATAGCTTTGTTTCCTAGTAGTGTTGAGTAAATGCTGTTAAATGGTGAAAATGTTAAGTTACATACACAATTGGGAGGGGGGGTAATTTACATCCAACCCTGTGTAACTTAGCAGTATGAAATCTGTTTTACAAGCTATTTTGTAGTTTGGACATAGAATTGCTCATTGGATAATGGCAATATACATAATCAGAAGGTATCTTCCTTTCTCATGATAGAGTGTGTAAAACTCTCACCTCAAACATCAAACAAAATAAAAGTGTGGTCAAATTACAATTTTATTAACATTTTCTAATGCGAATTGTATCATAGCTTTGAAAATAGTTTGCTTTGAGATATTTTACTATAATTAACATTTTTGGTAAGTCATGGAATATTTCAGAATTATGTTAAAAAAAACAATTCCCATGAATCATTTCACTGTAAATAAAGACATTTAATAAAATTAGCATTTCATATCTGTTTCCTTCCATTCCCCTCCCTCTTGCTATTAATGTGAGATAATTTTTGTTTTATAAACGATCCATTCATTTGAGAATTCACGTTAGAGCTAAAACTTTAGGTCAAGATTTAGTCCATGTTGTTCCACAGCCATCAATGGTATTTAAACATAACATGTTCTTTTGAGTTAATAGAGCTATTCACATTATGGCCAACTAGATTCATCCAAGCAGGTATTTACATTTAGATATTTCCCAAGAAAAATGCAAATGCCTGTTTCACTGAGCTGTTTCATTCTGTATTAATTCATGTGATGATCAGATGGGAACAAGTGCAGCTTAAAGAAGTGATACTCGCATATTTTAAGTTTAATGTTGCTTTTGAAAATGTTGAGATTTTCATTCAACTATTGATAATAAATTTGAAATTTAACATATTTTGAGCACATTTCATTAAAACCGTGAGCTTGGATGGTTGCTTTCATCTCTGCATTGGAACTTGAGAGATAGGGGTTTCCTGGGGTACCAGATATTGTTCAGAAATTATTAACTACATATACCGGTATCTGCTTAACTATAATAGTTTCTTCATACAAAAGTCCCGAGGAATTACTTAAAATATTGTTTCTATTATGAATGTTGCTATTCCAGCAATAACAGTTCAATATTATAAATTGTAGTTTTCCATATGTATCACAATGTTTTGCCATGTGTAAATATATAATGCAGACAAAATTATTGATTACAAGTCAGCAGCCCCTACACTGGAATATTTAAATGAAAGTTATCTGTTGGATCATTATTTGCAAAACCTGCATAAATCATAAATGTATATAAGTTAAGTATACACACATTACCAATTTCTATGTCTGGCAGGCATGTTGAAGTCTACCTATCTTGGATTCTCTTTGTCCTTTATCTGTTTAATTTAATTAAAGGGTGAATAGATGATCCAACACTGTGCAGTGAAGAAAGGTAGATAAGGTTGAATGTCTGATATCTTGCCTAACTTTGGAAATGGACAAAGGCTTGTTCTTGAAGGCAGAAGACAGCAGTGGTGGAACTGTCAATCTGTCCTTGCCACACATATATCTTCTGAAACAAGTCCAGAAAAGTTCTTTCAGAGTAGAAGTGAAGCTGACAAGGGTTTTGAAAGGCCTTGTCAGTATCAACTCTGCACTGAGGAAGTTTTTCCCAGGCTTGCCTCATAAATGGGGAGAAAACTTGTCACTTTCATCATAGACCTTTGCACATTATCTAGTCCCCACTGCAAAGACTGCAAATACCAATAGTAAAACTGACAACTGAGCAGTGCCAGCACAGAAGTGAAACTGACAAGTGTTTTTGTTGGAGTGGTAAAATGCGTATGTGCAAAGAAGTTGTTCAGAAATATGTAATCTGAGTTGTTCTGTACTCAGATATGGGATGGAAATTATCATGGGATATAAAAATGTCAATTTCATACATCATTGATATTTGAGGGATTTAATTTCAGTGCCAGTTTTAAAGAAAGACATAGAATGTAAGATAGTTATACTTGCTTCATAGAAGCAAAATATGTATTTCAAATTTGTAACCAATTTTTATTTGTTTGGTTTTTGAGTATATTTTATATGTTTGTGTGTGTTTCTCCAACATAGATTCCAGACAGAACTCAACTATGATGTGCTTGAAGTGCATGATGGACCAAATCTTTTATCACCACTTCTGGGATCTTACAATGGTACACAAGTCCCCCAATTTCTGTTCAGCAGCAGCAATTTCATTTACCTACTTTTTACAACAGATAACAGTCGTTCTAATAATGGATTCAAGATACATTATGAAAGTAAGTCAAGGCTATTCATTTTATTGATTTGTTTTTATTAATTCCTTTGCTTTTTATATATTTTTTCTAGTGTGTTAATATCATAGGACATAATGCTGGACCTTAGGGAAGGCTGAGCGAAGGAAGATCGATGCTTTTGAGCTGTGGTGTTGGAGGAAAGTTCTGAGAGTGCCTTGGACTGCGAGAAGATCCAACCAGTCCATCCTCCAGGAAATAAAGCCCGACTGCTCACTGGAGGGAAAGATACTAGAGACAAAGTTGAAGTACTTTGGCCACATCATGAGGAGACAGGAAAGCCTAGAGAAGACAATTATGCTGGGGAAAGTGGAAGGCAAAAGGAAGAGGGGCCGACCAAGGGCAAGATGGATGGATGGCATCCTTGAAGTGACTGGACTGACCTTGAGGGAGCTGGGGGTGGTAACGGCTGACAGGGAGCTCTGGCGTGGACTGGTCCATGAGGTCACGAAGAGTCGGAGACGACTGAACGAATGAACAACAACAACAATGCTGATTGTATATGCCATGTATTTTATTATTTGGGCATCACACACACACGGTCAAAGTTGCCTGGGAAGAAGAGAAGTATCTACAGCATGACACATCGTGCCATTATAATAACTTGTTGTTGTTGTTGTTGTTGTTGTTGTTGTTGTTGTTGTTGATTTGCTATATAAGTTGGCTTTGGATGCCGTAATGTCCCCTGTGTATATTTACATGCACAAAATCCAACTGTTTTTAGGTCCATGCATAATTTAATTACTGATATATTGTTGAAGGCTTTCATGGCCGGAATCACTGGGTTGTTGTAGGTTTTTTGGGCTGTATGGCCATGGTCTAGAGGCATTCTCTCCTGACGTTTCGCCTGCATCTATGGCAAGCATCCTCAGAACTACTGATAGTTCTCAGAATGGGAATGATTTTGATGTTGTCTTTTACATCAACCTAAATGCAGTCTAAAAGGAACAATTAATTTTGTTTCAAAGATAGTTGGGGGAGGAAAGTCCGTTACAAATATCTCATTATTTTCTGTCTATTTGACAGACAGTGAGAGCATGTGCATTTTTTTCTAGAGAGTATTCATATATGCCAGATTGTATTTGTTTAAATAATAATACCAATCTTTACACAAATTTTGTTGTTGCTGCCATTTTTGATAGATTTCTGAAAGGTAGAACTATTGTAATGTTTGTTTATGTATTTTTGTCAATTAATAACCTTCCCTTATATGCCTGATACATGTATGTAATTTATCAGAATGGAAGGTTCTGGGTAGAGCCTTCTTGTCAGAATCAGACACTTTGATCAAGACACTTCTTATATTTACATGGCATATGAAAAATCTCAGCATAGTTCCCAGTAAATTTTAAAGCATGTCTTGAAGTCTTGGAGGACAAGAAATACAATTAATACTTTTTTACAACCTTATCTTGGAACTATTTTATGCAGTTATGCATTTACTTCAAATTTTCTCCAGCAGCTGTAGAAGTGAAATATGTTGGGCACTGTGTATGTTTTGCAAATGCCTTGGGTTGTCACAAAAATCAAATATCAATTCCATAGTCATCATATAAAGCTCTGTCCAGATCAGAAGTCCAGTAGTATTTGTGTCTGTATTGATTTTGTTTTTGTTTTTTTTAAAAAAACAAAAACAAATCTACCTCCTTGTAATATCCTTGCCATCACCCAGAGAAAATTTTCACACACAATGCAGGATTATAGATAATAAAATGCAACATGTCACACATTTCAAGAAATTTACAAAAGTCTACAAAAGTTTGTGCCAAATTAAATTTTTAGTTTTTAAAAGTGTCATAGGTTCATTGTTTTCCTCATAGAAAGTTACACATCTATATCTGACTTTAGCAAGAAGGGAAAGGAGAAGGTCAGAGGATGAATTCTGAAAGTAACAATATAAAATATACAGTTAATAGTGAAATAGATTATATAATGGGATATCTTAAGTATTGTATTGTTATGTGTATGTGATTTTTTTTAAAAAGTTGGCTTCTTCTAAGTAATTGTCTAATACATTAAGACTATATTAATGAGTCCCCTTGCAGGGAGAAAAGCAGGATAAAAATAAACAAACAAATAATATTCGTCACACATATTAAGTTTATTTCATTTTTTTGTCTTTTTCATTGGCTGTTAAATTAGGTCAGTCATGATTTCTGCAGACTTTCTGTGATAAGAACCTATGTGCAATACAAAGATATGATCACAGAAAATATACTTTTGAGGATAAGGGGAGGCAAGTTTTCAAAGTTAGCCACCAGTTTATTAAATACAGAGCTATTGTGTCCAATTTTATGAGAACACCTGCTTCTTGAAAAATATAGTGTGGCTATTCAATTTTAGCTGAAGGCTTTAAGCCCATATTTTTCTATAGTAATTCATGACTTATCACATACATAGCTCATTGTTGACCAAGTGCTTTTGAAGGGTATGAAGTCATTTTCCCTAGCATGCATAGTTCCATGATTATAGAGGAAAAAGATGTTTTCCAATTGTTTTGCAAATTGTTAACATTTCAAAAGAGGTGTAAAAATGTTATTGTAAGAGAAGCTGATCACAGCTTTGGGTCATTTGGATCTGGTACATTGTTACTCTGTACCATTCCCAGAATGGAACAACATTATTCAGATACTAATGGCATGTAAATTTACATGTGCTAGCTGCAATTTCACCTAATACATTTCTACATTTAACAGTGTGTGCGTGTGCGTGTGCACGTTAGAGAGGAACTGTTCTTAATGGGAACCACAAACAAGAATGGAGGGTTGCTCTTTCCCTTCCTAGCTGGTATTCTGATAGAAAGGACACCAAAATTAATGACTGAATTGGTGGGAAGAATGGCTTATTTTCTTTTTTATTTTCTTTTTTAAATTTCTATTTATTTATTTATTTATTTTGTCGTGTCAGGAGCGACTTGAGAAACTGCAAGTCACTTCTGGTGTGAGAGAATTGGCCGTCTGCAAGGACGTTGCCCAGGGGACACCCGGATGATTTGATGTTTTTATCATCCTTGTGGGAGGCTTATTTCATGTCCCCGCATGAGGAGCTGGAGCTGATAGAGGGAGCTCATCCACCTCTCCCCGGATTCGAACCTGTGACCTGTCAGTCTTCAGTCCTGCCAGCACAGGGGTTTAACCCACTGCACCACCAGGGGCTACTCCCATATGGGGTGAGAAGGGTGGAGTATAAAATACAATAAATAAATAAATAAATAAACAAACAAACATGTCATTTTGTATTGATTACCGTTCAAGATCTCCTCTAATGCTATAAGACCAGATATTGGGTTCTCTTATTGAAGGTGTGGTACAGAGGTAAGGCCTCTGTTAAGGCCTACAGCAATTGATAGTAGAGGCCACAAAGAAGATTGGTTCCTTATATTCTCAACTATTACACCCGTTCTTCTTCTAAAGCCTACAAATTAAAGAATTAGCACAGAACAAAAGAAAGATTAAAAATGCTGAAGAAATATTTCCCTGGGTAAAACTGTGGAGTGCTTACTGTACATTACTGTACATCATAATTAGTTTAATCACAGAGTTATCTACACTTAATTAACCTGTAGTATCTCAGTCCCAACATTTTTAAACAAAATAGTGAAATCCTAATTCAACAATTAAGGGCTTGATTATATCTAGATTGCTTTATTTTAATGAAAAGGTTGTATAACTTTGCATTCTTACAGTGTGGATTTGCTGAAGCTGATGTAGAATCAGTTTCTCAGATGTTTTTCAATAATTGCAAATGTCATTTAGATATTTTGTTATTAGTAATATTAATATTTTTAATACTTTATGTGCATTGTATTATTATTGAGAAATGTCACAATAATCCTGCTGTTGAGGATTATATAAATTTCTTCCTAGATGTGGGGTTTTGCATTATAGCATTCTAATTTTAACATATATGCTTGTATTTAAATTTATATCCTCTGCCTTTCTCATGGCTCCTTAACACTGGACTAAAAAGCATCATGACAGTAATGTCACACACACCCTTGTTTTCCTTCATACTAGAGATTTCCCAGTGTTTTTCTAAATGTAGGTTACACAACTCACTGTATTTAGACTGATTAGGATCTGACTTAAAATAATATTTCTCGATTACTTCATGTAATCTTTGTTCCTTGCCCTCCAGGTGTAACAGTTAATACCTATTCATGTTTGGATCCTGGCATACCTGTTCATGGTCGGCGTTATGGGCATGACTTTTCCATTGGCTCAACGGTATCATTTGGATGTGATTCAGGCTATAGACTGAGTCATGAAGAGCCTTTGCTATGTGAAAAGAACCATTGGTGGAGTCACTCACTTCCTACTTGTGATGGTAAGAATCAATTGAACTGGAACAGAAATGCTATAGAACTTTCTTCATAATAATGAACAATTTTCTCTGTGTTAGTTGTTTTCAATGCAGATCTCTATTACTATATGAAGATAATATGGTTTCTGTTATCAGACTTGTCATGGGTTGTAACGATGCCACCAATTTGTGACGAGGCCACTAATATTTGAAGAGTTTGTAAAGGAGCCACCACTTTGTAAGGGTTTATTACTTTGATAGCGTAGCTAATAGCTAGTGATATTGACTTGGTCTTTCTTTAATGTGTAGCGTGACTTAACTTGGAAAGGAATTGTAACAGAAACAGAGCTTTAGGAAAAAACAGTAACAAGTTTATTGAAATGTAGAAGGAGCGTGGGGGTTTCAATGTTTCTTACTCTTAGAGGCACAAATCTTCAAAGGTTACATTTATAACGTTTCATAAACAACTCTGGAAAGAACTCTACCTTTCACTAAACAGGTTTCAAACTTATTTTTCTTCAAACTGTGTTTTTCCCTTAATAGATTACTTCAGTTACAAGCTTATTCTTTCTTTGTGACGTTTCTGTGGCAATAGAGATTTCTCTCACTTCCTTTTGTCTAACCCTTGTTCTTAACAATGAGTCATTTGTAAGTCAGATGTTTGTAATTCGGGGAATGCCTGTACCATCTGCTGACTCATCCCATTTTCAAAGTTAAGCTGTTTTGTCTGTGGAGCAATCAGAACGGATTACAGGTGCTAGAAGTATGGCTTCATGTGGGCTTTTTCCAAGGATAGTTTTCTTTTTTCAAAATGAAAATGAAACCTTGAAGAACAGAAGAGATTTTTTTTAAAGTACTGCAATAAATACTTTCTGTTTTACGGTGACCTTTTAAAGACAGGATTGCATTCTATCAAAATGCCAGGAACTTTATAATATGAGGATTTCTGTATATAACAGTATATGGTTTCAAAGAATGATAATTTCTGAACATGCTTTAGTCAGCTACAACACTCATAGTCAAAAGGGGTTTCTGCAGCTAGTGAATTCTGGGTTGTTGGAAAATGTGAGAGATAATAATGGATCACTCAAAGAATTTAATCAGCTGAGAAGACAGAATTCTACATAGTTTGAAGAATTAAAAGAATTAGATCATTGTGAATATCTGTATAAATGACTTCATCTCCCTTTCTTACTCAAATGTTTGCATAAAGCCTAGCTAACTACTGGATTTCATTCATCTCCAAATGACATGATGCAATAATCTGTAGTTGACTTGCATCAGTATGCTCATTTATAATATATTGTGAGATAAAACATACTTAATACATGTTCTAATGGGTTAATGTACAATTAAATACATACCCAAATGCATGTTTTTTGGAGAAGAGTACAATTTTGACTTTCAGTGTAATGTGGAAGCAGAATGGAAAGAAGAATAAATTGAATGGGTAGAAAAATAGTAGGAAAGATTTACCAAAGTGAGATTTTCTCATTTTATGAGGAAAAACAGACTTCTGAAGGATTATATCAAAGCTGAGAAAGTAATTTATGCATGTTTTAAACTGTTCTAACATGATAAATTGCTTAATATGGTTTGAAAATGTACCCTTCCAAGATGGAAATAAAATACATTACAAATTAAGTAAATTCAACTAAGCAAATATGTTTGGCACATGAAGAAAAGTAATCCTTCTCTCCGTTAAACTGGTCCTTAGCCTCATGTGACCCCCTTTGGTGTCACTTCTTTTGGCAGCAACTCAACAGTAGCAACTCCACACTTGCGGGACACAATCAAGCTAGACAACCTGCTGGGGAGGTCAGTTACAGTCCAATGCTAGAGCTGCAGCACTTCCATAATGAAGCAAGGGAGTTTCAGGTGATATACATCCAACATGCTGGCAGGCATTCCATCATTGACCTATTACTATTTTTCTTGGTCCCCTCAGCAGGTCTCCTCTTCAGAAAAAAAACACACACATTGAACATGTTTGTTCTTAAAGACATATAGTGGCTTCGTTATATGTAAGGTTGGAGAACCTTACATACAGTCCCTTACTCTATGGAAGTGATTTTTTTTCCTTTGAGAATCTGAAAAAAGCTATGAAACTCAACCCTAGTCCAGGAAATAAATGCATGCATGCATAAATTTGCATAAATTTTTTTTGCATTGGAAATCTATTTCCTTCGAATATAGTATGCCATAAAACATAGTCATTTTAAATTAATTGTGAGAAGGAAGAAAACCCTAAAGCAGTATGAATGAAATTAAAGGGGGAAAACAAGTTTTACAACTTCCACTAAAACATATCCAGGACTAGAAAAAAATATGAGATTTCTTGATCTAAAATTCCCACTTTCTTGGAAGATGGAGTAGAGATTGATTCCTGGCAAACCAAGAGTTTCAGGCTTCAGTACCTTCACCCCAAAGGAACTAAGCAACTCAAACTGATGGTTTCAAAACTGTTTTAGTATAAATTCTCCAATATTATAAGGCAAGCATTTTCATCACTGGATACTGAGGCTCCTGTCAGGCTCCTTCTACACTGTGGATTATCTGCTTTAATAATCTGGATTTTATGGCAGTGTAGAAGAGGCCTAAAACAAGGGATCAAACAGAACATTTGTCCAGCTGGCATTACTAGGTACTTGATTTAAGGGGGAAAAAAACCCCCATAATACTGAGTTATTCACTTGAGGGAGAGTTTACAGAGACATTACCTAACATATCTGACATCATCTCCCTATCATAGCTTTACCTTGAAATGGGTAAATCCCTTTCCTTATGAGGTATTCATGCTTAATGTCTGATTGATTTCTTCCTGTATCTAGATGCTATTATTTATTAGTTACATTTCTGCATTTTTCTTTTCTGGTGGGTGACTTGACAACTGGAGACAAATTTCATTTCAGAAGCTGGTTTAATCTTTCTTTGTCCTGAGCCAGAAAGCATTCGTGTTTAATCTGCGATCTCATGTAGGATAGGTATGTGCTTAAAAGTAATGTAGTACAAATAAGTGAAATTTGGAAAGAGTATAGATAAGCTTCTCTTCACTGAATAGACTCTAGAAGTAGGAGCATTTTTCTTTATTCTAATAAGAACTGCATGCACACCATCTAAAAATAAACACTATTAAGGAGCTCTCTGTGAATGGTATATTTGGCTGTGAAGTACATTACATATTGTGACAAATTTCTTCCTTGAGATGTATTAGTAGGCAATTCATTAAGTAAATGACATTTTCTCTTCCTTTCTCTCCCCCCACCCCCAGCACACCACTAAATATGATTCCTGCTGAATTGATATAATCTAAAAGCATATTTGATTATATTTATTCTAGTCAATTTCTTTCACTCATGAGTAAACCCATTTTAATTTTTGTACTTTGTTGGCACTTTTGGATGCTCATGTTCTGCATGAATTGTGTCAGATCTGGATATGTTTGCTGAGATAAGAACCATTCTAGTACAGTCCCGCCCTTGCATAATATCAAAATTTTGTGCATTCCACTTTTCCCCTTTAGTTTTCCTTTGTAACTTGTATTGTTCACTAATATCCTCTTGGGGAGTTTCCCACCACCTCGGTAGGTGATCCTGTTGATGCCATGGTCTCTCTCTGGAATGGGGAGATGACTAGAGCAATAGACACAATTGCTCTGGAACGTCCCTCTCAAGTAGCCGAGTTAACCATCTCCTTGGTTCAACGGGGAGCTGGCAGTGATGAAGCAAAGGAAGAGAGAACTAGAGAGTGTGTGGCATTCCGACCCGAGCGGGCCAAATCAAACACACCATATTGCCTTTTTAAGGTCATATGGCACGGCAATAAAAGCCACAAAGAAACCCTTCTTTGTGGCCAATATTGCATCTGCAAAGAACTGTCCAGCGGAGCTGTTTCGAGTTGTCAGAGGCCTATTAAATCCCACCTCTGTGGATGGGAGCCCTGAAAACTCGACAGCCCACTGTGAAGTGTTTGCTCAGTTCTTCGTGGACAAAGTTGCTTTGATCTGTTCTGACCTGGACACCATGTTAATGGCAGTATCTGAAGATGTAACACAAGCATTTGCTTGTCCGGTTTTAATGGATTCATTTGAATTGGAGAAACCTGAGGATGTGGACAAGATGAGGGCAAGCACATGCTCACTGGAATGAGGGCAACCACATGCATTCTAGACCCCTGCCCATCTTGGCTTTTAAAGGAGGCCAGAGAGGGATTGGCTGAGTGGGTAAAGGTGGTAGTTAATGCCTCCCATTGGGAAGGCATTTTTCCAGTGAGCTTAAAACAAGCTATAATAAAACCACTGTTGAAGAAACCATCACTGGACCCCACTCAATTCGTCAACTATCAGCCTGTTTCCAATCTACCCTATTTGGGCAAAGTCCTGGAACGTGTGGTGGTCTCACAACTCCAGGTATTCTTGGAAGACACGGATTATCTGGATCCAGCAAAGTCTGGCTTTAGACCCAGTCATGGAGCCGAGACAGCCTTGGTTGCCTTAGTTGATGATCTACGCTGGGAGCTAGGCAGGGGGAGTGTTTCCCTGTTAGTTCTGCTGGACCTCTCAGCGGCCTTCGATACCGTCAACCACAGTATCCTTCTGGGATGCCTTGCTTGAATGGGCCTTGGAGGCACTGTTCTACGGTGGCTCCAGTCCTTTCTGGAGGGTCGTACCCAGATGGTGTCATTGGGAGACACTTGTTCAGCCCCACAACCATTGTCTTGTGGGGTTCCTCAGGGTTCAATACTGTCTCCCATGTTGTTCAACATATACGTGAAGCCGCTGGGAGAGATCACCCGGAGTTTCGGGGTGTGGTGTCATCTGTACACAGATGATGTCCAACTCTGTCACTCCTTCCCACCTGCTACTAAGGAGCCTGTTCAGGTCCTGAACTGGTGCTTGGCTGCTGTGACGATCTGGATGAGGGCTAACAAATTGAAATTGAATCCAGACAAGACAAAGGTACTCCTGGTCAGTCGTAAGGGCATAGGGTTACAGCCTGTGTTGGATGGGGTCACACTTCCCCTGA